TGACGGCACGTCTGCCGTCTGGGGGGGCTCAAAAGAACCTCGAGGCCTCAGGTTGTGTTGGAGCGCCCTGAAAGGAAGTTCGTTGCTGACGCCTCAAAGAGCTCGAGACTCACGTGGCTGCGGGGGGGGCAATAGTGAGCGGGGGGGCAATAGCGAGGAGGAGGAGGAGGAGCAGCAAGGGAAAATGTACAAAGCCCAAGCGGCTAATAGTGCGAAACTAATTCCTGGGCGGCCCTCGTACCTCAGGCAGGAGCGTCCTCAGTCCTCGTAGCTTGCGGTCCGCAGTCCTCGTAGCTTGCGGTCCTCAGTCCTCGTAGCTTGCGGCCCTCAGTCCTCGTAGCTTGCGGTCCTCAGTCCTCGTAGCTTGCGAGACGTCCTCAGTCCTCGTAGCTTGCTGGAGGTCCTCAGTGGGGGGAGGGAGAGGGAGCGAGGGGGGAGGACGGGGGGAGGGAGGGGGGAGGACGGGGGGGCGCGGAGTTTTATTCCCCGGAGAGAGAGCCCGGGTGGGGGGGGGGCCCTTTTCTAAAGACCCTACCGGGTTAGTCATCACCCCCCTCTTGTCCGCCCCCGACGGCTGGATCCGCCTCGAGAAACGAATCAGGATGGACCCGGGACCGATGTTGAGCGGATTCGGGCTGAGCGGGCGAGCCGCCGTTGTCTCGACCGGGCCTCCCCCGACCCTGCGCGGGCGAACCGGCAGGGGTCGCGGCTCGTGGGAGGACTGGCTGGCGGCACTGCCCTGCTCACGCGAGCTCGGGACATCGTATCGTCCGACCACGGGGCCTCCAGAGAAGGGCCCCCTCGCAAGGCTGAGCCCCTGGCCCTCCGCGATTAGTCGCCGGCGGACCCGCGGGAGCCACCGGGCGCAGAACGACTGCGGCCTGGCTGACGGAGGGCCGACCGAGGGCCGTCGGAGGTCCATGCCCATGAGCCCGTCCTGGGCCAGGGGCGGTGCATCTCACCAATTCTGTCGACTCCATGTTTTCGAGCCTCCGGACCCCAATCCTCTCGACCAATGCCCCATGGGGCCGGCTTCTCATCCCCAGCAACCTTCTGACAGACCAGGATCTCGAGAACTTCTTCCCGAAACCTCGTCTGAGATAACACGGCATGAATACGCACTCCCGAGGGTCTGCGTGGAGTCCTTCGATCGGCGCTGGACCCGTGGATGAGGCCGCCAGCGGAATCTAGTTCAGATCTGAGAGCTCTGCGTGGATCCTCGTCGAAGCATTGCTCTGATCAAGGTCTGCTGTCTTCGAAGGCCCAGAGTGCAGCACAACCTGTCTGCCTCGACGACCGAGGGTCCCAACACGGTGCGGGCACGGAGCGTGCGGTGGCCCCGAAATTCCGAGAGGGCCCACCGCACGGTCCGCCATCGCCTGGCGGTCTTGGGACCCTGGCGGCTCCAGTCGCCAGAGACACCCGAGGAGAACGGTCCGAGTCCCAAAACCGTGGGGTCACCCCGAAGCCCCAGTGACTCACTACATGGTGTGGCCAACGTTCGAGGAGCAACGACAGGGGGGACTGGCATAGGGTGGGGAAACATCGACCTGGAATCGGCGATGCATCGCCGGTAGATCGGCACGGGGCCACGGACAGTGAATCCGCACGCTCCTGAGCGGGGGTGGGCCATCGGGCCCCTATCTGCGATGGATGGGCGACTGGTCGATGCACTCCCCCCCACCCCCATGCCTATACCCCCCTGCTGTTGTCCCCGAACGTTTGGGGCCCGAAGAAGAGTCTTGAGGTCTCTGAGGTGGTGCCGCAGCAGCGCCGACGAGGCGGCGCACCTCGCGCAGGAGGCGCTTGAGGTCCTGCGGCTTGTTGAACTGCGCGAGCGACGACCTCCCGACCCCTATCCAGAGAGCACTAAGGGCCCGACCACAAGAAACTGTCCACAAGAAACGCAACCGTGAGATCCCAGGACGTCCACTGCTTTTTGGTGGGAACGTCACGCTTCCCATCGCAAAACTATCGAAACCCAAGAAACACAGGGCACCCTGGAGGCAAGCAGGGTGTGTCTTGGCATGGGTCTCCACTGCAAGCACCTCGACAAGCGAAGCCGTTTTGTAAACGCACCCATGGAAGGAATCGACCATAACAGGGCTGTTTCGTAAGCGCCCCAGGCCGCTCAGGAAACGCAAATCAATCATGGGGGACGGGGTGGAATTTCCTCCCTAGACTATCCTCACTGGCGCGGCCTTGCTCCCACTGGCCGATCCCCGCCTAGGAAGGTGGGCTGGCGGGACTGAGGTGCCATGGCACAGTGGGGATGGGGATCGGTTAGACGATGCTGAGGTCGAAGGAGACGTCCCACAGATCAGCATGCCCTCGACAAGGTGGCCAGGTTGCCCTGCGAGCGTGCCCGAAGATTGGCCACACCCTCGTGCAGGTGGGGAAGGAGGGAAGAAGAAGGAGGGGGAGGAGGAGGAGGAGGAGGAGGAGGAGGAGGAGGAGGAGGAGGAGGAGGAGGAGAGAGGAGGGGGAGCTTGGGGACGAGGCGGAGGAAGGACGAGGAGCAGGAAGGACGAGGAGGAGGAGGGAGGAGTGAGGAGGGAGGAGAGACTCGGAGCCGGATCCGAAACAATTGCGAAGCAATATGTGGAGAAGGGAGGAGAGAGAAGGAGGAGGAGGAGGAGGAGGAAGAGAAGCAGAAGGAGGATGATTGGCAGGAGAAGAGGAGAGGAGAGGCAGTCGACAGCAAACATTGGAGCCAGCGCCTCCAGCGCCGCTGAAGCGGCGACAAGAAAAAGGGGCCTCACTCGTCGCATGGCTGTCACATCAGAACTCGGGTCTCCCGCGGCCGTTCGGAACAAATCGGACATCCCCCAAACGCTCCCGCTGAAGCGCAGCTGCTTGACGAAGAACACATTTACATGGACTCGGAGATACATCGCCGATTGATCGGCGATAGGCCATCGATTCCGGAACGCATGTTTCTGGAGAGGATAGGCTATCAGGCCCCTATCGGCGATGAATAGGCAAATCCTGGAAACCTCCCAAATACTCCCTCATTGATCCGAAGCCGTCGTCAACGCCGGCACAGCAAGCTGGCGTGAGCATGCAGAGGCTTGACGTCAAGGGTGGTCCCGCCGAACTGCTAGGCGAGGGACCTCTTGATGGCTACCGAGCGCTCCTCCTTTCGGTCGTAGGCCTCGCAAACCTGCCCATATGCGCCTCGGCCAAGACAGCTCCTGAGCTTGTAGCGGTCGTCGACCTCACAGCAGCTGCATGTCTGTCTATGCTTGCCCCCCCTCCGCCGCTAGCACGGTCGCTCCTCCCCAGACATCCGGCTGCTCAATTTTTGTTCGATGTGTGGCCCCCGGAGGTCTGGACCATTGCCTTAGGGCCGGATTGTCGCCCCCGGTAGTTTTTTGACGGTCCCGAGCTAGGCCCGGTAAGGGCCCCTGGAGCCTCAAAGCGGCCAAAAAACTGCCGCTCCAATTTTTCCGGAGCGTCAGATCTCTGTGTCCCTCATACGCTATCGCGATGTGCCACGGCTTATGTGTCTGTCGTTTCCACTGCTACAGTCAACCCGTACAATAAGGATGCGCGATAAGGATGCAGGTGCCGTGGAAGGCCATGTCGACACTCTGCCAGCGGGGAACGGCCAGCGAAAGCGGCCAAGGTTGGGCCGGAGGAGGAGGAGCGAGGGAGGAGGAGGAGGAGGAGGAGGAGGAGGAGGAGGAGGAGGAGGAGGAGGAGGAGGAGGAGGAGGAGGAGGAGGAGGAGGAGGAGGAGGGGGAGGAGGAGGAGGAGGAGGAGGAGGAGGAGGAGGAGGAGGAGGAGCGAGGAGGAGGAGCAGGGGGGCTTCGGAAAGTCGCTCATCCTTCCTGCGCGGGTTGACCGTCTCTCGGAAGATGTGACCTCGTTTGGCGACGATCAGAGCACATGCCCTGAGGGCGGCCGTCGCCCCTCCCTGACCACTGGAGCGACCCCCCGAGCTTTAGGTCGGGCATGTCCCCCCTACCCTACAGGCGGATTTTGGACGAAAAATAAAACGTATCCAACAAATACTTTAAAACAGCAAAGACATGTTAAAAACATATCGTCCCGAAACCATCGTTTGACTAAGTTTGAATTGTCCTCCTGTAAAAAGACACGCCCGACTGAACCGAAGCTCTCCTGGTTGCTCCTCCACTGGCCCCGAGGCGGGAGCTCCCCTGGCTGCCACGCGGTGTCTGGGGGCCCTGTGGGGCCTGGGCCGTCCGGGGGCGCCGCTTGGCACCCTGTTGAAGCAGCTTTCTGTTGGGCCAGCCGGCGGGAGAGCCTTTGGGTCGTCTTGGGCTCTGTGACGGCCAGAAATGTGACCGCGTCAAATCGCACAAAAACGTGTTGATATATGCCACTGACTCTTGGCTCTCGGAAGCGTCTTGGGGTGTCCTCTATAGGGGACCCTGGAGCCCGTTCTCCGACAACCGTCGGCCGTCGTCGTCGGGTATTGGCCGTCTTGGGCGGTGATTCGGGGCCTCGTGGGGCCTAACTTCTGGGGCACTGAGTGGTTGTCTTGGAGCGCTCTTGAAGCGCCTGGGGCCCCCAAAAACATTCGCCAGAGATATTTGCATACCCAGGTGCATGTGTACATACACATATATACACATATTATAGTTACACACGCGTATATACACATACATGTATGTGTACAGGCGTATAGATACACACGGATCAGCGGCTGAGCCAAGACACCAGAATCGGCGTTCCGCCCAACAACAAATATTTTGGGTGTGCTAGTATTGCGCTTTGCGGGAAACTGAAAGGCGGATGTCGTTTCATGCGCAAGAGTCCGTTCCGCAAATTTGAACTATGTGTTGGCTCCCGTCCGTTTACAATCATCGTGCTACGCTTATCGAAGCCGAACAATGAACGAAGGGGCCGTCCTGACCGCGGAGAGCCCCGGCTACGAAAAGGTCTCCGACCCAGATCAAGGTAGGGCCCAAAAACCCAAAACCCCCTTCTAAGACCAGAGCAGATGTTTATCTTCAAGGGCTTAACTGCACCACGTTCGTGGTGGCCCTGCTTCGCGGGTGGTGCCCTGCCACCATCTTGGATTCATTAATGTATCTGGATGGATTCCGGACGGATCTCGGGCCACCCGTGGTGGCGATCAGGACGTGCAGGAGCCCCCCCAGAAGCTCACAATATTGCCCGACACTCGTCACCCAACAAGACCCCCGAACTGGCCCGAACCAGCCCAAAACCAGTCAACAATACCCCCCGGGGACGACTCATGGCGACAGCCATGCGAAGCCACCGCCGTAGCACGCCAATTCGTTGCGACGAAGCTTCAGCAAACGCGGCGGTGGCGAGCATGTGCGCGGCAACGTAATGTAGCGCAATCGATTGGCAGAAAGTTGATGTTTGAGCATCGGGGAGAGAGAGAGAGAGAGAGAGAGAACTAGAGAAAGAGATGGATACACCTGTATACACATGAATAGATGTATCGAGCATGTTTGCGTGCGTGGGCTCCAAACAACTTGTGCCTGGCAATCTACGCTGTGCAGTGTACGTGTGGAACAAAATACGTGGTGCGCGCTGCGTGGTGCATCCTAAGTTGTAAAGTGTGTGCGTATTGTGTCATCGACATGTGCACTCCACGCTGTGCAACTGATGGTGCGCAATCAACGCGGTGCAATATACTCTACCGCTCGGGCAAACATCCCACACACACCCTCGCAACTTGGTTTGCCAAAACCCATGCGGCGGAGATTGCGATGACTGCTTGGCGCTGGCTGGCGCATTGTTGCGGACGCGCTGGCGCGCGCATGCTCGCGAGCTGAACGTTTCGCGCGCAGAGCGGCCAGCTAGCTTGGCGCGACCGACGTGGCCGCGGTGGCGCCGACCGCTGGGGAGTTCCCAACGAATCTCGCGGGACTCGCTCACGCGCGGGCGCTGGAGCGCGAATCGGTGATTCGAGCGGTCGCGGTTTCATGGCGACGGTGACGATGACGACGGCAAGGCCAATGATCGCATTGATGATCACGCCAACAGCGATGATTGTGTCCACGTGCAGGTGATGAACTGGTTAGGAGGATTTCGCCATGCGCGCTCGGTCGACGCGCGCGACTGACCCGCATGATAGCATCTAGCAAGGACCGCACCCCCCCAACAACCCCCTGCAAGCACGCAAGGGCACCCGAATCATTCCAACATGCGCGCGCGAAAAGCCTGGTTGGCCGCCTTTGATGAACAGGTTGAAAACCTACGGTGTTCGTACAACTTCGCTAGAGCGCGCAAACTCTTTGAAACATCAAGTTGCAAAACGCATTGGTGTCCGGGCGATTCGATGATGATGTCATTACGGAGCCTGCTGCTGTTGAAAAACACGAACAGAAGTGCGCGCAACGCCGCGCGCGGGTGGTAAGTATATCACGTATTGCAAACGGGGTGTTGGCATAAGCTGGTTCCTGATGGACGAGTGTGCGCGCATAGTGTAAGTTGACAGGGATGGGGGGGCGATGTGTTGTGCAACCTGTGTTGTGCAATCTATGCGCAACTTGAGTCTACGTTGTGCAGAACATGTTGCGCAGAAAATGTGGTGTTATCTACGCGGTGATATGGGTTGTTAGAACTGAGTTGACAAATGCCACGACTTGCCAACATCCAACCCATGCTGCGGCGATTACGATGAGTGTTCGGGGAAAGCTGGTGCATCTCTGCGCCCGCGCTGGCCCGCGCATGCTCGCGCGCGCAACGGCCAGAAACTTTGGCGCGACCGATGCGGCCGCGGTGGCGCTGACCGCTGAGCATTTTCCCAACGGGCGCTTCAATACGAATCGGCGACGTGGGCGGGCGCGGTATCACTGCAACCTCGACAACGGTAGACACGAGGATGATAGTGGCGAGGCTGGTGGCGATGGTGACAAAGACGACGGCAAGGCCAATGATGGCGCCGATGCTGATCACGCCGGCGACGATGACGGCGCCCCCGCCTCGGGCATGCAGGTTTTGGAAGGAGTGCGACATGCGCGCGCGGCCGACGCGCGAGTGGCCCGCATGGTACTACTTGACATGGATCGTGCTCCCCCAGCGCGCGCGCAATGGCTTTCGAGTGATTTCGCCAGGCGGCGCGAGGGCTTGTCTGGCAGAATGTAATAGAGCAATTGGGAAGTCGATAGTATTACTGAAAACAGTTTCCATATTGCAGGCGCAGGTATGTTTTGGAACCTGGCGTTGCAAAGCCATGTATTTATGTTTTCGGGAAGCTCGATTTCGAAATCATGGCGAAACCGAAGGTTTTTGAAAGATTCCGGCGAACGCGCGCGTCGACGCGCGCGTGCAGGAACGTTCAAACGATTTCGACATGCGCGCGCGAAGGACCCGCTCGGTAGTATACTAAATATTGGACATCCCATGATTGGTTGAGAATTCGCAAGAGCGAAGGTGCAAGCTGTTTGTGAACATACGTGTTGCAAAACCATGTGTTCTTAAGTATTTTCGGGGCACTCGATTTGAACCTTTTTGCGAAACCCATGGTTTTGATGGGATTCGGGACTGCGCGCGCGAAGACGCGCGCGTGCGCACTTCGCCCCATCTGTTGCAACATATGTTTTTGATGAACGAATGAACGCGCATAGCATTTGTTCCGGAGGATGAAGGGGGGCAACGCCGCCCTGCCTGGGATGGTATGACATCGCACGCAACATCGTATGCAAATTGCAACACGAAAAAAGAAAGGTACCATTAATTCGGGGGGGGTCCTACGGTTCTTTTGGGAATGAAAATCTACGCAGCGACCACGGGACCGTCAGACACGCACCCGGGCACAGACGACGGGCGGGACCGCGGCGGCGACGGCCGCTACATGGCCTCCGGACCGCCCGGCAGACCCAATTCCTCCGACAAGTAATAGAACCCCTAACTGCAATCACTGTCTGGGGACAACGTATACACATATACAAATATTCTCATCCACGTAAATGTGTGTATGTATCTATATCTATATATATAAACACACATGTCCACGGGCACTTTTACACAAGTGCGCATGATAGGGTGACAGGAATAAAATGCGCCGGTGACGTACCCAACCTTTCTCTAAACATATGGCGAACAGATGTCGGACCGCTCGCGACAACTTAACATGTTGAAGGACTCGCAGGGCGCATGAGCTTCCCGAAATACACAAAACCAGCGCACAGGAATGGCAAGATAAGGCCGGGGACAGAAGCATGCGGAGGAGGGTGGACGGGGGATATACATGTTCAGTGACAGTAGCAGCGCCGAGCGCTACATACGCGGGACAAAACAGAGCCATGCGCACTGAAGCAAAACAGCGCGTCGCGCTGAGCGAGGCGCGGGGCGCAGGAACCATCGAAAATGGCAACCATTGCGGGCAATAGTTATATCCACATCCAGTGTGTCTTGGATTCTTGAGCTCTCTTCCCCAGAAACCGTAGACGCACTGGATATGGATAAAAATCTGGCCCCAAGCGGCTTGATATTATCCAAATCCGGTGCGCCTCGGCGTTGCGGCACCTCTTCCCAAAAAGTCCACGACGCTCTGGATATGGATATAAGTACTGCCCGCAACAAATTCACACTTCGCAGCTCCCGTGGGAGCCGCGAAGTCTCCACCGGGTCCCCGTGCAATACTCCACCAGCACGACCTCCCGGGAGCCCACGAAGAGTGGCGGGAGCTTCACACTTCGCAGCCTCCAGGGGGAACCGCGAGGTGTCGGATGGGTCTGCGTGTTTCTGCGTGTTCTCCCGCTCCCCTGGACCTCCCAGGAGCCCACGGAGAGGGGCGGGGGGCAGGAGGTTGCACACACAGGTTGCACAACATAGATTGCTCCACATAGGTTGCACAGCATAAGCTGTCAGAAATACACTGTTTGGAGCCACGCTGGCTAACATATCGACCACAGGGCCTCGTGCCCAGTGGGCGTGGTATACTGCGTGCCGCTGTCTAGAAGATTTCGTAAGTTTTCCAGCCCCCATCCCTCGTAGCACGCGACCCTCGATGGCGCAAGACGGCTCACGAGGCCCTGAAGACGACCTCAAGACGGCCCCCAAGACGGCCGACAAAGGTTGCAAGAGGCCCTGAAGGAGAGCCCAAAGAAATCAAAATCAGTGATTCGTATACGGCCTTTGACGGATTGACCCCCCAAAACAGCCCAAGGGGCCCCCAAGATAACTCCAAGACAACCCATGAGGCCCCCAAGAAGGCACCGAGTCGGCCAAAAAGAACCCCAAGATCACCCAAGAGGCTCCAAAGAGGGCCCCAAGACGGCCCAGAAGCGGTCCCAAAGGCACGAATACGGCCCAGAGAGACCCCCAAGACGACTTCCGAAGGCGTCAGACGGGCCCATCGCCTCCCAAAGGCGGCCCCAAGAGACACCACCCAAGAGGTCCCAGGAGGCCCCCAAGAGGCTCCTAAAACGCCCCCCAGGACCCAGGAGGCTCCCTGGAGGCCCAGGAGGCCCTAAGAGGACCCGAAGAAGCTTTCTCCTCCTCGTCCTCGTTTTCCCTCTCCTTCTCATCCTCCTCCTCCTCCTCCTCGCCCCTACCGCGAGGACGAAAACGGTGTCGGGATCACGACACTCCCCAATTCAGACCACTCGCTGAACTGCCGCGGGTACCGTGGACGAAAACGAAGTCGAGCTCGAATTCACAACCCGTCCATATCAGACCACTCATCGAAATTGCGCTGTTCTTGCAATCAACCTCCTTCCTGCAGTGCTGTTGCACAGGCTCGGTGGCTGGGTTTACCGCAGGGGGCTGGATATGCATATATGTTTACGAAACAATAAAACAGAGTGCATTCACCTTTCATGGCGCAGCTGCGAGTGCGAGCGGCGTGTTTGAGCGTACCTCTGCTGCGCGCAAGGTCTCGCGCGACCCCACTTCGAATACTGCGACGGAATGATTATTTGGGGTGTCTTCGCCCATCTCGCGGCAACTGGGGCCCAGCACCTGCAACTTCGGCCAACCGCATCCGCCCCACAGACTGAGCACCGAAACCTGAAAGAGTGCAACAGAAGGTATGCAACGGGCGCTTCCCAAGGAAGGACCATGCGACTGTGCCCATTCTGCCACTCGTGCTGCACTAAATCCCTGCGACAACGGACCACTGATGAAAAGGCCAGCTAATCCGTGGGCGACCTCCGCTGCAACTGAGGGCCGGGCCACCCAACGGTCTTGCCGGTCCGTCTGGAGGATCGCCGCCGCCTTCTTCGCGACTCTCGCTTCCTCGGCAATGTTTCAAATTTGACGCGGAACACGCGGTCTAGAAACCCCGCTCATCCGAGATACTCCTCCGCTGAACTGTGGAAAATATTGAGATTGACAAAACCTCCTGCACCTGCCATCCATCATGAGCTCGAAGATCCTACCAAAATCCCGGCACACCGAACCACAAAGGAAACCAGGGCTGTTCCGGAACTAGCCGAAATTCAACAACACTTAGATAAGAAAAAAATGTGGCTTCTCGGGACTACAGCCGTCGTACTACCACATAGACCGCCAAATACGAAACGAATGGTAGGTTCTGGCCTCGGTGAACCTTGGCCACAAATTAGCTTCCCGACCAAATGTTGAGGAACGGCCAGAAAACCAAAATCCCTCCTGAACTTACAACGGTCTTTGCTTCAATGTCTTGACTGTAGTCCCGCACCAAATGGACTCACGCTACACCATGAAAGAGGCGCGAATTAGAGCAGACCAATTCTACTGACGAGCGACAGGCAGTGTCGCCACATCAGGAGGACAAGGAGCCCCTCGGAGCTATTCGTAGAGTCTGCCCACATCCCTCCTCACCAATGCAATGGACAAGCTGGGAAGTCCAATGCCGAGCGAAATCCCGCCACACCAAAGCAAGAGGATAGTCGGGGCTAGCCTGCGACTGCGAAACATCTAATGGGATCCCTCCATAGCGCCAGCCAGGTTAACTGCTGAACCAAGCGAAATCCTGCGACACCAAAGTAAAAACGCTAATCGGGGACAGCCTGGGCCAGTGAAGCTTCAACCAAATAAGCTAGCCGGAACGCTGCGACTCCAAGGCAAACTACCTGTCGGGGCTAGTCGGGCACCCTTCCGAATCAACCCAATCCCGCAACACAAAAGCAAGGGGCTGGTCGGGGCTAGCCAGGGCTAATGACTCATCAAACGAGATCCCACAACACTATGGCATAGTGCTGATCAAGGCGACTACCGAACCAACCTACCTACATCCTGCCACACCGCGGAGGAAGGGTATGATAGAGACTAGTCGGGGCTACCATACCAGAGCAAGGCTCTTGTCTAGGCGAGTCGGCACATCATGGCAAACGAGTAGACCACATAACTCCCGAACCAAACCAGGTCAACTCTATTGACGCACAAACCATAATTCCGCGACCCTGGGCCAAACTCCCGCGGCACCGAATCCCCGAGCACGCGGCATACCATGCATATCACTGCAACATAGGCGCCAGCCCTTGAGAACAAAGCAACGCCTCCACAATCAACACTGTGCCTTTATCAAGTGCTTCCGCCCATCCCTGCAGGCAATGCTTGGAGCGGCTGTGCGACAACGCGTGCTGATGCTGCTGCTGAGGCCAATGTAATTTCGCACGCTTCTGGCAAGTGTGGCAACCGTAATAAAGCCGTCGATCAAAATGGTGATATCTAGCAACAGATGGCACATACATCTACAACTGCATAGGGTAGCAGTTCCGTGAAAATGAAACCTAATAAGGGAGGAGCTATGACACTGGATGCGTATGTGTGCAACAGTGGATGACCAGCGTCGTTACATGGCTGTGGTATAGCACTTGCAGTTGACATGCTTGCACGGTGGAAGTAGCAAGGGTACTGGCCACGGAGTGGTGTCATTGACTCATCGAGAGGCTCGAGTTGCGGTTGCAGTGCAGCGCAATAAAGCGTATCAGTAGCATGAGCGGTCACTCTTTCGGACTCGCCCGCATGGGACCCGAACCTAGTATCACATACGGCAACCTAAGAAACAAATTGCGACATCTGCGTAAGACCCGCGGGAAAGCCACCCTGAACTACTAGCGCATCGACGCACATGCAATCTCCAGCACAACGGACCATCAAACCGTGCGCATTCAACCGCAAAGAGATAATGCTCAATACGCCTGCAAAACAAATGACACATACGCGGCAGAGATCTGCCTCATCCGGCGGGATCGGCATCTGCGCCAAATCCACAAAGGACACGCACTTCGTGCCTCAGAGGAAGTCGTGTCATTATCGAGGGAGGCTTCTATCACAAGCACTGATGACATATTTTCCCTGGGAACTCCTGAGGCCCCGGGCCTGTTGACAGCGCAAGGCAGCTGGCCAGGAATCACGAGGGAGCATCGAAGCACGGTCCCTCGGAATCGTCAGGCGTTCAGCGTGAAGGCTAGTGGCAGGACCGGGGAGAGATCTGCGGCACCTCACAGAACACCTTAAGGGTTTCCCTGGGGCAAAAGACGAACGCCCGAAGGCCTTCGCAAACTCGGACGCAGTGCCGCCCAGATGCATCCTCGATCCTCGGAGAAGCCCCCCCTGCTCCAAGAACATGCCCGAAGCTCAGATCATGACGGGGACCACGGGAACTTCGGCCTGTCATCCTGCGAAGCAAGAAGCCGCCCTTACATGCACCATGGTCTGCGGGGCTTCGCCCGAAACGTGGTGCACGCACGTACTCTTTGAGCGCTTCACGTTCGCGCACCTATTTCTATTCTGGCTGCCAACACAGCTTCATGGTCGGGCCCCTGCGCCCGAGAAATCACCTCCGCGCTCGCCCTGGCCTGCCTCGCGAGGCCTCCTGGAGGGCCGCAGAGGCCCCCTGCATGGAGCCTCCCGATGACGAAGAACGACCAAAGGGGGGAAGGTTAAGAAGCAACTACTGGGAGGTTTTCATCGGAAACATTAAATGGGATTAAGCCCCATTTGGGAGCTGTTACGCCGGAAAGGGCCTCGGACTAAGCAGGATTAAGCCGGATTAAGCAGGATTAAACGGGATTAAGCCGGATTAAGCGGGATTAAGCCGGATTTCGGGCCAGGGCAAAGTCAGAATTTAACCTCCCAGGAGTTGCATCCGAAGGAAGGGGGGGCCGGCTCAGGGGTGGGAAATACCGACGTGGAGCCAGCGATAACTCGCCGAGAGATCGGAGACGGGCCCCCGGCATCGACACAGCACGCCCCTCGGCGGGGTATAGGCTATCATGGCCTCACCTCGGCGAGGAATGTGCGAGTGGGGGTCGACACGTTTCCCCCTGAGTCTACCTCCCTCCCCCTGTTGTTGCCTGTGGTGACTGTCTTTTATTCCCCCCCCGGGATAACGGTCGTTACCCCGGGGGGGGGGGGGTCGGGCGGGAGGATAACGGTAACGGAGGCCGCGGCGTGCACCCATCAGGGTGCGTCCGCGCCACCGGCGCATCAATCGCCTGTGTGCATCACAGCATGCGTGCATCACGACAAGCCCCCACCCCCCCAGTACCATCGTTCACGTTACCCCGGGGGAGGGGCTTTGGCCCGGGCATAGAGCGTTACCCCGGGGAGGAACAAAAACACTCTCACCCTCGTTGAGGACGTCACTCCGCTGGACCCCCCCAGCAACCACAGTGCTCTATTCAAAACGCATACAAGGAGGGATGGAACAAAGCGAGAGGCAAGGGCAGGAGGAGGCAGGATGAGGAGGAGGACGTAGAGACCACAGTGCTCCGTTCAAGACGACTACCCAACCAAGGAGGGTTGGGAACAAAAACGCTCACCTCGTCGAGGGCAGGCTGAGGCTGACGCTGAGACTGAGGCTGAGGCTGAGGCTGCGCCCATGTCGACCAAGGGGGACGGCCCTACGAGGGCGAGGAAGTGGCGCCGGGGCGCCAGCATCACTCGAACGTCGCATATCTGGGGAGACCAGAAGGTACCGATACCGCTGCTCCCTGGACCTCTCCCGGGGTGCGTTCTGACCAGAATTTCGAGGCGTCTCCAACGGTGGCGACGAGGGCCTCCGAGGAGGCCCAAAAAGGGGAGAACGGGCGGAGGGGCAGCGGTATGGGTGCTTTCCTCTTCCCCTCTGGATCTCATATGCGCGGGCCGCTTTGCTCCACACCCTGTGGCCGTGTCGTTGCTGGCCGTGCTGGAGGGCAGGGCGCCTCAGAACTCCCCCGCGGGAGGGCGAATGCGCGGGTGCCCCGCGCGCCGCGGGGCAGCGGGCCCCCGGCCGGCTGGGCGGGGAGCGCGCTGCCGCAGGCGCAGGGCGTGCGTGGGCAGGCAGGGGGCCCTCGTGCTCGGGCGCCCGAGTCATCCGGGGTAACTCGGGCCCGGGGTAACGCGGGTTTGGATTCCCGAGAAACGAACCCGAGTTGGCCCTGACCCGAAGTGCCCCTGATGACTCGGGGCTCTGGGCGCCCGAGTCATCCGGGGTAACTCGGGCCCGGGGTAACGCGGGTTTGGATTCCCGAGAAACGAACCCGAGTTGGCCCTGACCCGAAGTGCCCCTGATGATTCGGGGCTCTGGGCGCCCGAGTCATCCGGGGTAACTCGGGCCCGGGGTAACGCGGGTTTGGATTCCCGAGAAACGAACCCGAGTTGGCCCTGACCCGAAGTGCCCCTGATGATTCGGGGCTCTGGGCGCCCGAGTCATCCGGGGTAACTCGGGCCCGGGGTAACGCGGGTTTGGATTCCCGAGAAACGAACCCGAGTTAGCCCTGACCCGAAGTGCCCCTGATGATTCGGGGCTCTGGGCGCCCGAGTCATCCGGGGTAACTCGGGCCCGGGGTAACGCGGGTTTGGATTCCCGAGAAACGAACCCGAGTTGGCCCTGACCCGATGCCCCTGATGATTCGGGGCTCTGGGCGCCCGAGTCATCCGGGGTAACTCGGGCCCGGGGTAACGCGGGTTTGGATTCCCGAGAAACCCGAGTTGGCCCTGACCCGAGCCCCTGATGATTCGGGGCTCTGGGCGCCCGAGTCATCCGGGGTAACTCGAGCCCGGGGTAACGCGGGTTTGGATTCCCGAGAAACGAACCCGAGTTGGCCCTGACCCGAAGTGCCCCTGATGATTCGG